TCCTCCCTTGTCCCTCTACCAGCCTTCCCAGGCCCCACCCAATCTCCACATCATTCTGCAGGCAAGGTGAGGCCCTCCTTGCGGGGATCTCCAAAGTCTGTCATTTCATCCAGGGCAGGATCTAAGCCCTTTCCCATGTGACCAGGCTGAGAGAGCAACCCTCTGTTTGAAATGGGCTCCCAAACAGTGATCCAGACTCCATGAATGTAGTGTCAGTGAGGAGACCACAGAAATCACTGGAGCCTTGGGTAGCAGATCAGTGTTTACCATGGTGTATGAAATACCATTTTCTTATCAGGTCTCTGATGGAGTTGATGACTTTAGTTATTGTTATAGTTTTCTTTTTTTAAAACCAGATTCAGAAAACAAATTTACTAAAAAATATAAAGTATATAAAGTGGAGAGACATAAAAAGAGAGATTTGGTAATGTAAAATAGAATAGAAAGTGAATTAGGTACAACAGTTTGGACTCACCAAGATAGGCTATAAATGAAATATTTTCTCTGAATTTGTAAGTTGCTAATGGGCTAGACATTTTTGATATATTTATTGCCTGTATATATTATACATAGTTATTGTACTTATTATATATACTTTTTCTTATATTAGTTATATTTTTATTTTTAGACAAAAAAGAAAATGTGGTAATATATTACTTATTGTCTAACAAATAAAGCTTGCCTAAAGAGCAGAGGGCAGAGCTAGCTGATCACTAACTATAGAGATCTGTAGCTCTGAACAGATTGACAGGTATTGAAATGATTGGGGGGAGACAGGAATATTGGCTTGATAAGACAGGAACTGGACTCTTTTAAGTTTGAGAATTTTGTAGATGTATCTTTGGGAGCCCATTCCAAATAGAGGGATGCTCTCTCAGCCTGGTCACATGGGGAAAGTCCTAGATCCTGCCCTGGATGAAATGACAGACTTTAGAGATCCCCCAAGGAGGGCCTCACCCTCCCTGGGGAATAGTTGGGATTATGTGGGGGGTTGGGGAGCTGGTGGAGGGAAAAGGGAGGAGGGGTGGGAGAAGGAGCTGGGATTGACATATGAAGTATTCATGTTTCTAATTTAAATAAAAACATTACAAAAAAAGAGCTCTAGTAGTTAACTGTTCTGCTTCTCTGATCTTACAGCTTTCACCCCTAATATCTGACTCTAGGCTTTTATTATTAATACCAGTTAGAACTCCATTTACAATCTTAGACAAATGACTCATCTTAAACTATGTAAGTAACATTGATGGCAAAACATGAAACAAGATGTTGTAATCATTGTAATTACACTATATTTATTATTTGCCTTAAATCAATGATGTAGCTCTGTAAATAATACATTTTGAATTCTGTTAATGAAATTATTCTGTCCAGTACTTTGTAAAAGCAAAACAGGTATAATTAACTATCGCACTTTCTGAGGCATAAATGTCTTTCAGGTAGTAAATGTAGAATGCCAGAGCAGGAGGTTTAGATAAAAATTAAACTTGCTTATTCATAGAAAACAATGGATGACAAAACAACATGAGGCATACAACTATTGTAACATTAATAGACATGTTATATTTATTTATTTGTGAGGTTGTTAACTTTATTTTTTAACATTAATGGAGTTACAGCAATGTCAGAGCGAGCAGGCAGAGAGCACTAGCTTCCATCTTCCATGTCCTCTACACTTTTTTATTTTTAAAACAATCTTATTTTACATGCCAATCTCATTTCCCTCTCCCTACTGTTCTCTTACTTCCCCTGACATCTGGCCACCCCTCCCCCCACCCACTCCTCAGAGAGGCTGAGCCCTCCCATGGGGAATCATCAAAATCTGTATTATACCAGACTAGGACAAAGTGTGTCAGGACTAGGACAAAGTGTGAAACTTTATTTCTTCATATATTTTATCAATATATATAGGAGAGAATTTTTATATTATTTACAGTTTTCCCAAAGGTTCATCTGTAAGATCACCATGAAATTTTACATCTATTAGTATTAGGTCATGTGCATTTATAATTTATTTGAGTATATTCTATTTTAGCCATGTAATTGTAACCCAAATGTTACTATGTTTAGAAAACCCTCCAATGTCAAACTTCTGATTACCAGTTGTGGGGAGCCGCCCCCACATTCTCCGTTACAAGATGGCGCTGACACCCGTTGTCAGTTGGAGTAAACAACCTTGGTGCGCATGTGCCTGCTACTTTTCTATCCCTTACTCTCTGCCTCTCCCATGGCGTCATATGGGCTGATGAGCAGGAGCCAGTCAGGAGATGACACGTCCGAGGCGGGAACTGCTGAGCTATATAAGGGTTGGGCTTTTCACTCCCCGGGTCTCTGCTCTGTAAGCTTATGCTCTCCCTCTCAAGACGCATTAAAGCTGTTCTGCAGAAGGATTCTAAGTGTGCCGCATCGTTCTTGCTGGCGAGACGGTAGCGCGGGACAACCAGTAAAAGTTTATATGTTTTCCCTAGCTTGTACATTTAAACAACAGTTATGGATTTTATTTTGATGGTTCTTTATTTGTCCTGGAGAAACAAAAGTAGAGCATACACTTTCATTTTACATTGCAGTTTCTGACAAGTAAATGAAATCCGATATGTACAGAAACAAATACAATATTGCCATGAAAATCACACAGTAAGATTCAGGAATGATAGTCCAAGAAGGTTGATAAATGCAGAGTAGGAAAGTTTCTGGCCATTAGCTTTATGTTTATTTTTTTTGTACTTGCACGTAGTGTCAGGGTGTAAAAGTAAAATAAATGGCCATGTTTGCTTATACCTCAAGTGTATTTGATGTGCACCTACACACAATTATTTTGATTCATCACCTTTATTACAATGTTAAACTTAAAGTCACATAAAACACATAATCTTTTTCCCAATCAAATAATGATCACTAGTAGTTCTATATATCTTTGTTATTTTTGATTATCCCACTGATGTAATTCTAAATTCTCTCGTGTATGTGTCGGTACCACAGAGTGACTTCTTTAAGACATTTTTATTTTTGTCATATCTTCTTTTACAACATAGTCAGATATTTCAATTTATTTATATCCATGGAAAAGTAAGAAGTCAGTTTATTATGATATTATATTAATTTATGTTATAATAATAGAGATTTAATCTCTCATCATAAGAGGAAAAAGGGGCTTGGAGCTCAAATTGCTGTTGAAGTAAAACTGCCTTTCTTCCTGAGATATGCTTCCAAGTGCTGATAATTTAAAGGATGTTAACAAATAATTTTAGCCATAACTTCTAGTTGTGTGTTTTTTTAAAATGATTTTGAATGAGCATGCAAAATTTCACATATTTTCTATAAAACAAAATCTACTCAGATTTTAAAGTGTTTCTGATGTGTTGGACATATTCAGAGTGTCATGTTCATAACCAGTTATCTAATCTATTTCAAAACTGACCAGATGAAAATTATCAAAACTGCAATTGTATGCCTACCAGCAATCAGTTTTCATGATTTCTTACTAGAGTTGTCAATAAAGAAAGCATCAGGTTCAAACCAGGCTCACAGAAATTTAACATAGGAGAAAATTTTTATTTGAAAACACTATAGTCTTAATAACAATTGTATAGTCACTTGAAATAAGTAAAAGTACCATTATTGTGGCTGGGGACTGCACTATTTTAAGGTTGTTTTATGATCTTACTTTGTATTGTAGAAATTAGACTTTCATTGATCTGAAACCCACATTTTTTCCAGAAATTTCAGACTTTCAAACATTTAATATAGCATGGATATAAGTTGGCTCAGTGACAGCTACCAGAGGAAGTATGGTCTTGTTTTTAAATAGATTTCTAATGCCAAGCTGACCTCTGGTATTGAATGTTCCATGTTTCCTTTCAATGGGAAGGAACATTTGTGCATTTTCAAAAAGTGACAATGTCACAAAGGAACTAAAGAATAGTTATTCTCTGAACCTTGAAAGTGACTTTTGTGTGGCATGCAGGAAAATGGGGTGAGCATTTACCTTGTGGAACTTTTCAGTTTTCCAGGACAAAGCTATGATATAAAGTACCTTTTTTTACCCTGAGAATTTCAGGTAAGTCAAATCTGTATGCACTGTTAGAAAAGACATTTTATTATAACAAGAAAAATGTGTTGATCTGGAGTGGAGTGATTAGGCCATTTGTCAAAGAGAGTTACTGTTGCTGATAACATTTACAGGTTACACATACTTTTCAAATCTCAATAGAAGTAAGCTTACTGAAATGAACTGGTGAGACTGATTGTGAAGAGGAAAGAGTAAAGTACTGTGTGAAATATTTTATATCCTTCCATTCATAAAGCAAAAGATAGGAATGGAATTTTAAAAGATTATAATGTTCATTGAAAAGTTTTAAAACGAGTATAAAAATTACTGATATTTGTTGACTATTAAGTTTTTAGGTACATATTTTGGTACATATTTTATTATCAAATAATACTAGGACATAATAAATGTCTAACAGTTAAAAGACAATTCTTTTTAAATATCATTAAATTTGAAAATTCAATTCTATTTCAACTTTAGAGTTTACATATGTCATGTAGCATTGAATTCTTACATGTCTATTTTTCAATAAAGATGTGTTGAAAATAAGCCAAATTTACTCAAGATTAAACAGGAATAACCTCTTGTGAAAGACTATTTTATATGACAAAGATGCCTTTAAATGCCTGTATTTTAAAGTATTATATATGTAGTATTAAATAATTTTGGATGCATATAAGAAAAGTGTGTAGATTTATGTTTATTTACACATATACTAACTCTTACTTTTGTAAAAATATGACCTTTATTATGAAAGTTTTTTTGATTGTCTTTTTATATCATCTTTATGTTAATTTAGATATCATTTTATGTTAATTTAGAATGTCCAAGCAAACAAACATTGATGGTTCAAAACATCATTGCTCCTTCAATTCTTCTGTAACAGTTAATGTGATAAATAAATATTTAAATTATAAATTTAGGGAACATTTATAAACTAAAATTGGCTAATTCTCTGCTACAAAAGTTCAGCACTTATAGTAAATTTGGAACAATACAGAGAATATTAGCATGTCCCTGTTCAAGGATTGCACATAAATTTATTAAGCATTCTTACTTTCAAAAATAACTAAGAAACTTATTACCAAAATTATTTCCCTTGTTCAACATAAATTTAGGCTAAATGTAATCTAAACCAGTGACATTTTTAAAGAAATTTTAACTTTGATAACTTGATAACTTGTAGTACATTTGAAATACCTCATGCATATATATTTATTTATTAGTCACAACTAATTTAATATATTTCCTCATTCAAATGGACTTATCTACAATAAATGTGATTGTGAACAAATTCTAAATGAAATGAAGCAAGAACAAGTCTTTTAGTCTTTCACCACCTAAAACTACTCGTGATTTTTTTCTTTTCTAATTACGTTGTCTTCATTGAAGACTATAATACCATTTATATGTGTAGCATAGATTATCTGAAAAACTGATTTAATGTTAAGAGTAATGAAGTAACTAGAAAACCATAAAGTACTCAGCAGTGAAATTTTTCTATGTGTTTCATCTTACATTGAAATATAAGGATAAACAAATATTATATGATTTATAAGTTACTTGGAAACTAAAAATGTTATACTCCATAAGAGTATTTATGCATCATTAAAAATAGCTATATGTTTCATAATTTATGATAATGTTAAATATTTTGTTAAATGACTATTTTCCTATTATAGTATCATTGAAACAGAAAACTCTCATATATAGTATCATATTTAAACATAGATTTGTCTACCTGCAAACGGTGATTCATGAGCTAATCATGGGTAGATGCTATGCCTCTCAGCATACATAGAGTAATGGTTGCATAAATGAATGCAATACACTAAGCCAAACGTGATATAAACAATATTGATGCCATTATTTATATAGATTAGAGTCATGTCAGGAAGTTTAAGAAGCCCAATATCTTTCTCCAAATGTTCAGGTTTTGTTTTTATAATGGGACAGTGACATTGAAATGACACAAAATGTCAGGTCAGACTCTAGTCATTAATCGGTTATTTGGAGATATTCTCAATTCATTTCAATATATTATTCCACATGTTTTTGTTAATATTATGAAATCCATAATTACTGTTTATCTAACACCATCAGGCCTTGCATTCGAGAATGATAAAGGAACTGTTTTCTTTCTTTTTTCATACTTTTTATTTAACTTATTACACATGTCACTCTCAGTTCCCTCTCCCTTTCCTCCTCCCCCATCCCCCAATCCTCCCAACCCCTTACCCCAACTCCATGCCCCCTCTGCTATCCAGGGAGGGCAAGGGCCTCCATGAGGGATTTTCATAGTCTGTCACATCATCCCGGGAAGGGCCTAGGTTCTTCCCCGTGTTTCCAGGCTGAGAGAGTATCCTTCCATGTGTTATGAGTTTCCAGAGTCCCTCTGTATGCCAGGAATAAATACTGATCTACTCTCCAAGGTCCCACAGATTGCCAAGGCTTTCTCTCTGTCACCCAAGTTCGGTGGGAGGAATGTCTGGATCAGTCCCATGCTGGCCCCTCAGTCATCAGTCTGGGTCGATGTGTTCTCCCTTGTTTAGATCAGCTACCTCTGTGGGTTTCGCCAGCCTTATCTTGATTACTTTGGTCATCACTCCTCTTTGCAACTGGGTTCCAGGAGTTCAATTCGGTTAACAGCTCTGAGTGTCTGCCTCTGCCTCCATCAACCACTGGATGAACGTTCTAGGATAGCAAGGAAGTGTTTTCTAATGGCTCCTACAGAAGTTAGAGTTTTCAACATGTGCTGTTACTGGCAAGTGAACTTTAGGCAGAGGAAATCTGTTACTAGTAGTCAGAAGTGTGAACGAAGTTTAAGTTCATCATATTTTATTTTCCACATCCTGATGGTTTAAGTCAGGACTTTTAAGTAAAAGGGCTAATCTGCTATTTTTGCTTGTTTGTAATGTTTCGCTGTTTTACCTATCATGTAATGACAGCTATTACACTTCTGTTGTTAGTTTATTTGTATTTTTGCTATTAAAATATTCTCAATAACAGTATATTGCTTAAGAAACTTAATTAAAAAATCAAAGGCAAGATGCAAAAAAATAAGATAATTTTCTAAGTCCATATCTCTCAGCAGTTTTGAAAACTATATATTGTCCAAATCTCAAGTAAACAGACTTATAAAAATAATTAATGATATCATACTACTCAATGAATCATAAATGTATGAAATAATTTATAATGTCTGTATAGTGATGAATGAAACTAACCTTGAAGTAATCATGACAACTGAAAAAGAAGCTGAGTACATGTGTCCTGTCTACAGACCTGAACAAATTCAACACGTGTTTATTTGTTTCTGTTACTTAGCTATTCCACAAAGCTTTCTAATAATTCCTTAAATCCAAGTGCTCAGTATAGATTAGAAACCGACAATTCTACAGCCTCATTTTCAGGACTCTGGGTTGTTGGAAAATCAGATTTCCCTTGGTATATATTGTTTCTTTAAAACAGACATCGACTTATTGTCTTCCTTGATTATGAAACTGATCCCCAAAATTATTTAACAATCTGATAAGCAGATTTTAATATTATTTCCTTAAATTTTACTTTGTACATATGGATAGTTACCTGCAAGTATGTCTGTGTGCCACATTCACACTTTGCTAGAGAGGCCCAGAAGAAGCCAGAAGATACCCTGAGAGTACATTTGCAGAGCCTTGTAACCTAAAATGTACTGTTGGGAATTCACCCAAATCCTCCAGTGGAAGAGCAATGTTCTTTCTGTTCAGTCATCTTTGCTGTCCTCCAAAATGTTAGATTTCTTTTTGTTGACTTTGTGGTTTCAATATTTTGCCTGAAGGTATCTAATTAAGTGTTTTACTATGTGATTTCCTAGCTGATAAAATTTAAGAAGTTTAATAGGCATTTCAGGGAAAATAACGTATTTATGTAATACATTGCTGAGGACTAGGAAATACCTAAATAATTCTGACTGTTGTATGAGACAGATTGTGAAATAGAAATTTTTACCTTAACATAGTATAGTAAAACTATTTCAGCTACATAGTGATTTTTATCTGTGGTGTAAATGTAAAACTTTTCAAATTTGTCAACATTGAGGTAGTAGAAAGTATGAGCTGGAATTTTTTCATTTTTAACTACTTTAAAAAGTATTATGGTGGCACCTCGACCAAGGTAGGATAGGTGCCAGAATGATGGAAGTGACAAAGGAGAAGAACTAAAGACAACAAGGCTGTGAGTAACTGATGGGAGATGCCATTCTGTACATCTGTCTCTTGTTGGTTGTTGAATAAAGCACTATTGGCCAATAGGGAAGTAAGATAGGTGGAACTAGGAGTCGAGCAGGATTCTGGGAAGGAGAAACACAAGGGGTCATTGTGTAGCCGCCAGACTCTTTTCTCCTGTAAGAGAAATACTTAGATTAACGATTATGGAGTAAATACTTTTTTTTGTTTTTTTTGAGACAGGGTTTCTCTGTATTGTTTTGGAGGCTGTCCTGGAACTCGCTCTGTATACCAGATTGGCCTCAAACACACAAAGACCCGCCTGCCTCTACCTCCCAAGTGCTGGGATTAAAGGTGTGTGCCACCAATGCCTGGCTTGGTGTAAACACTTAAGTCAGAGCTAGCCAATAAGAAACAAGCAAGGCCAACAGCTTCATAATTAATACAGCATCTGACTATAACGCTGCAGAGCCCAGGCGACGGCTGGGGATTAACCAAAGTGGCTGACAAGGAAAAGGCTTCACCCAGGTTGATATTTATGGCCTATACTGGCATCTGGGTCCAGGATTATCTAATGCCTGGGCCCTAGCTTCAGTCAAGGGTCATTTGTGTTTCCCTTTCCCTACCACAGCAGGGGTCTGACTAATGCCTTTGGTCCACTTTACCACTGAAGGCTGAGCAGATGCTCATGGTCTGTGCCCCATCCTGAGGCCATGTTGATGTCCAAAGGCCACACTGCCATGTTGATCATATTCACTTAAGTGCCCTGGCTGCTTCCCAAGACAATGGTGATGTATAGGTCCAAGGTTTGGCCAGGGGCTATGCCTGAGTTCACTGTCCTACTGCAGCCATGTCTGTGTTGATGTCTATGGCAGAATTACCTCAGAAGGCTGTGGAAGAGCTGGATCTGGTAGTCTCAGCACTTGAGAAATGGTGCTACTCTTCACCAGCTACACCAGAGATGGGCCTGGTGGCTTTGGTTTTGGTGAGCTGGACCAGACTCTCATATAAAGTGAGAAATTTCAATAGAGGCCCAGACAAACCAACTCAGTTGCCACCCAGGCCCTTTGAGTTGGCCAACCCCAACATCTAACTGACCTATGGCTTGTTGAAGTTTGTGAAGTGATCTGTCCTACGGAACCATAGCAATAGGGTATCCATTACCAGGGGCAACAGCAGGATATCTGAAAAATGTTTTCATGAGAATGTAACATTTTTGGTGTATCATAAGTCAGAGGCCTTGGGTCAGACATCCAAATCATTGCAATGAACATTTGCAAATAAGACTACTTCGTCAAAATGGTATAATGCATGGCACAAGGTAACTTTCAGGACATCTGACAAATATTATTTTTGTTTAATTTTCATTTTGTGGGAAGACTATAAGGGTGGAAGTTGGACATGGAACAACTGAAATGAATGGACTATCTGCCCTTACTGTGAAACTCCTAAGGATTCAATAAAAAATGTCTTTATAAAGTATTTTGGCAATCATATATGCAGAAATTCTATTTTCTTTAGTTATATAGAATGTTGAAATATATGTTTACCACCTTAAAAGACAGGAAAATGTTTTAAGAATAAGTTTACGACACAAAACCAGGAGAAAATAAATGCTATTACTTATTAAATGTATTTCCCTGAAGTGTTTAATTGAAAATTTCCCTTCAAACTGTGTGCTTGTGCCAAGGACTCATACAGGTGTAATTAAAAACTGATGAGAAAAATACAGAGTGAGAAAAATAATTGTGTAAATTCCAGCTGTTTTGAATACTATGAAAATACCCTGTATTGGGAAATTAACTTAGCCATTTTGCCTGAGAATTTTAATGCAAACGCTAAAACACCAAAGGTTTA